GTTGCAGCGTCACACCTATTGCCATCATTAGGGGAAAAAGGTTATCTGATCGCCGACCCCCAGGAACAGGTTTGCAGATTTTCTGAGCACTTCTGTGAGGTCCTTGGGGGGGAGGGGAAATCTATCAGCCTATAAAATATCATGGGGCAAAGTGGGGATGACCCTGCTGAGGCTGCGGTGCCTCAAATATTGGAAGAAGAAGTCACCTCCTGTGAGTGGCTGGCTTAGGTGCCATCTGTTGAGGAAGTACAAAAGGCCATCCAGATTTTGAGACCAGGAAAAGCACCGGGCAGAGATGATCTCCCAAGCAAAATGCTAAGGGGGGGGTGACGTTTGTGCATAGACTGCCCTACATGATATGATTAGAACAGCCTAGCCCACTGGATGGGTTCTGCAGGATTGGAAGGATGCCCTGGTGGTCCCCCTCTTTAAGAAGTGGGACCGCACAGACTCTAACAACTACAGGGGCATCTCACTCCTCAGTGTGCCGGGAAAGGTCCTGGCAAGGATTATTCAACATCGCCTTGCCAGGCACGCTGAGGAGAGGCTTGCGGAGCCCCAATGCGGTTTCAGGAAAGGGAGATCCTGCACAGATGCCATATTTTCTGTGAGTCTGCCACTGCACAGGTGTAGGGAATTCCAACAAGACCTATAACTTTGCTTTATTGACCTGGTCAAGGCCTACTATACCATCAGTAGGCCTGGGCTCTGGGTTGTTCTTCGTGCTTTCGGAGTCCCTGACTCTCTGCTCATAATCATTAAGGACCTTCATAATGGTGAGCATGGCCGAGTACAACTACGTGGCCGGGAGACGGAGCTATTCCTTGTTCACCTTGGGGTGCGACAAGAATGGCCTCTGGCTCCGACATTATTTACCATGTATACTCTTTGGTTTTTTCGATAAAGTCACATAGGTAGAAAATAAAATAAATCACGACGTTTCAGGTGCAACACAAGTGTCCATCATCAGGTGATGTCCATCATCAGGTGATGGACGCTTGTGTTGCGCCCGAAACGTCGTGATTTATTTTATTTTCCACCTATGTGACTTAACCGAAAGAGCCAAAGAGTATGGATTCCTGCAGTCACGAAAGCTTCGAATCATTATTTACCATGTAGTTCGTGAAGCCGTCGATGGCTGGACTTGAGGAATTGTGACTTGAAGCTTTCGTGACTGCTCGAATTCATATTCTTGGTTCTTTCAGGTAAAGTCACGTAGATAGAAAATAAAATGAAATTCAAATACTATTTTTAAAATAATAAATAAAGGCAAAAAACCGCAACGCTTCGATCGCAACACAAGCAGCCTTCATCTCTCCGCCTGATGAAGACCGCTTGTGTTGTGATCGAAACGTCGTGGTTTTTTTATTTTATTTTAAATTTATCTTTTAGTTTAGTTTCATGTTTATTTCCTCTCTACGTGACTTTACCGAAAGAACCAAGAATATGGACTGGAGGAATTTCCAGCTGGTACAGTTACAGTGTGAGGTTGATCAATACCAGGGTGCGGTCATGGGATGGCTCCCTATTGCTCAACCATGTTATGTTTGCCGGTGATCTGGTGATTTCTGCTCACTCAGACGAGAAGTTGGAGGCGCTTCTGCTGAACCTGAAGCGTGCCACTAAGCCGTTGGGCCTTACCATCAGCCCCAACAAAACTGCCTGGGTATTTTGTACCATCGGACACTCCACCCCCACAACTCCCAATTGGTGATGGAGCAGTTGTGGACAGAGTGGAGAGTTTCCCATCCCTGGGCAGTGTGGTCATGAGCACACTGCCCAAATCTGTGTGAGTCTATGGGTCTCACACAGGAGACCCATAGACTCACACAGACCTATAGACTCACACAGAGACCCATAGACTCACAAAAAGACCCAAAGACTCATCTGGAGACCCACAGGCTAGCATAGAGCCCCACAGACTCACACAGACCCATGTCTTTAGAACTGCTTGTTATTGCGTTAAGTTCCGTGTCCTTCCCCCGGCACATACGTTTGGCTACGCACGGCTGGCTACTCACGGATGGCTAAGCACGGCTGGCTACTTCCGGTTGGCTACGTACGGATGGCTACGTATGGCTGGCCACAGACGGATGACTACGTACGGTTGGCTACGTTCGGTTGTCTACGTACGGCTCACTACGTATGGTGCGATGAGAGACGTTTATGTTGCATCTGGATGGCTTCGCCCCGATCTAAGAAGGGGCCTCACGGTGGATAGGAGATGTAAACCACCGAGCCTGACCATGCAGGAATTCACGTGGGTTCGATCCCAACTGACGCCTGCTGTCTATTTGTAGTCTACGTCTCTCTCTCTCTCTCCCCATTGTAGTCACGTGGAGTTTTTTTCTCCAGGTCCTCCGCCTTTTACCTCCACATTTAGAAACACGCGTTTAGAGTCTTTGGCTGCTGATATAAATTTCCACGTGATGATGATGATGATGACCCACTTGGTTAACCTATACTTTGTGATAGCCAGGTCCATTCCTAAATAACTAATATAAGAATATACTTTTTTTTAAAAACACGCTTTAATGAAATGTACCGTACTCGTAATGGCAAAACTCCACGACTCCAGGAAGTGGCCCCGAAGCTTGCCACAACGTAAAGGGACCGTGGGCAATTACAGCCAACATCAGTTGAGCGTGGACAATTAGAGCCAAGCCGAAACATAACATATAAAAATAATGTAAACAAATATATTTACATTTTTTTAAATGATAGAATATAGTATTGTCATCAGTATGACATAAGTATACCAAGTTTACAGTCGATATCACATTGGGAAGTGGGTAAAAATTGAGTTACAAGATTTGAGGATACAACAACAACAGACAAAGTGAGTTAAATAAAAGTGCGTAATAAAAAAAGAGCTGCATATATCTCAGTCCGACTTTACCTGGTAAATTAAAACAAGGTTTGGTTTTAGTCTTTGTGGGTTGCTGTGGGTCTCTGCGGGTCTATGTGTCTCTATGAATAATGGTCTCTGTGGGTTGCTGTGGGTCTCTCTGAGTCTTTAGAAACATGTGTTTAGAGTATTTGGCTGCTATAAATATTCACACGATGATGATTATGGTGATAGAGCCACTTAGTTGAGCTATACTTTTCATCTGTGATGGCCAGGTCGCTTCTAAAAAAAAGAGCTACATTGCTCAGTGGGGGCCTTACCTAGTCAAATAAAAATAGTTGAGTTTTATTATGGGTCTCTGTAGATTGCTGTGGGTCTCTGGGTCTGGATGAGTACGGGTCTAAAGGTCTCTGAGTATGGGCCTCTGTGGGTCTATGGGTCTCTATGAGACTCTATGAGACTGCAGAAACACGTGTTTAAAGTATTTGACTGTTGCTATAAATGTCCACGTGGTGATGATGATGATGATGACTAGCCACTTGGTTGGGCTATCATTTGTAATGGCCAGGTGCACTTCTGACAAAAGATGAAACAAAGTTTTCATACTCTTTGTTTTTTCGGTAAAGTCACGTAGATAAAACAAAATGAAAATTAAAAAAAAACTAAATCAAATCACGACGTTTCGGAGGTCAACACAAGCTTCCGTCTTCAGCTGGAACAGTCACAGCAAGGTAGCTGCATCAAGATGCTGCATCAAGCTGCTACCTTGCTGTGACTGTTCCACCTGAAGACGGAAGCTTGTGTTGCCTCCGAAACGTCGTGATTCGATTTAGTTGTTTTATTTTGATTTTGTTTTATCTACGTGACTTTACCGGAAAAAAAACAACAAAGAATATGAATCCTTGCAGTCACGAAAGCTTCAAATCTGGAATTAAAGTTTTCATAGTTTTTAGCTGAACAACGAATCGGTCAGCACCACTCCGGTAACCCCCCGTTCCGTGCGGTGTAACGTTCCCATCACACGACGTTCACACGACGTTCACACGACGTTCACGCACGACGTTCGCGCGTTGGAAATACACGAACATTAAACACACACACACAATGAAGATTCACGCAATCGCAGCCATCACACTTCTCTGTTATCCTGGCCAATTTTTATTTTTTTCGGAAATTCACAATTTCATGAGCTCGTTTAAAAAAAAAACTATGAAAAAATATAAACACGACATGTGGCTCTTAATTAAACACGACGACGATGGTGGCGATGGTGGTGATGATGATAATGGTGATGATGATAATGGTGATGATGATAATGGAGATGATGATGATGATGATAATGCTGCTGATGATGATAATGCTGCTGATGATGATAATGGTGATTTTGATGACGATGACGATGAACACGCGATTCGGTGATCCTTCCGGCATCTCTGTGAAGCCTCACAAACAACAAACAACAACAACAAACAGCAGCTGCAGCAACAACAACAACAACAGCGGCGGCCTCTCTCCCACTAAGTGGCAGCTGACGGCCGCTGCTTCGTCATCGCGCGGTGCTTTCAGATGCGCTGCTGCTTCTGGTGGCCGTCTGGAACGCTCTTCTTTTTAGAACTGGTTGTTGATGTCGTTGTGTTTAGTTTGTTGTCCTTACCCCCCCCCCCCCCCCATACCTCCGACTAGCACGGTTGGCTACGTACGGTGGTGTGAAAGAAGTTCAAAACACATACGTAGACTCACACAGAGACACATAGACTCACACAGAGACCCATATACTTACACAGAGACTCGTAGACTCACACAGAGACCCGTAGACTCACACAGAGACCCAAAGACTCACACTGCGACCCATATACTCACACAGAGACACATAGACTCACACAGAGACCCGTAGACTCACACAGAGACCCATAGACTCACACAGAGAACCATATACTCACACAGAGACACAGACTCACACAGAGACCCATAGACTCACACTGCGACCCATATACTCACACATAGACCTATAGACTCACACAGAGACCCATAGACTCACACAGAGACCCATAGACTCACACAGAGACTCATAGACTCACACAGATAGACTCACACACAGACCCATAGACTCACACAGAGACTCATAGACTCACACAGATAGACTCACACACAGACCCATAGACTCACACAGAGACTCATAGACTCACACAGAGTCACATAGCCTCACAGTACATGTTTGGCAAACCATCGAACAAAGACGGTGGTTTCCGCAACATCACGAAGCGCTTCCAGATGCACTTCTGCTGCCATCTGGAACGCTCTTCCTGACCGATATGAGGAAGCCACTGATGCAATTTTACATCATCATCTAGATTGACAAACTCATTTATTTATTTTAAAGCTGCTTGTTGTTGTGTTTTGATTGTTGTCCTGACCCCCAGCTCCTCTGATTAGCACGGTTGGCTGCATACGGTGGTGCAAAATAAGTTCAGCATACATACGTACATACATTAAGAAGTTCGACATACATCACGCACACACGCACGCGCGCGTGGTGAGCGAGCGGAGAGGTATGTGGGCGACGCAGCCCCTGGCCCTGCTTGGAACCCGTACCATGCTGGACCCGTGGCGAGCTCGGCTCAGATGTCGCCAGTGGAAAAATGACCTCCTGTACTGTGCTGGACCCGTGCCATCTCAGTTTGGATGTCGCCAGTTGAAACACCACCAGTACCGTGCTGGACCCGTGCCAGCTCGGCTCACGTGCCCCAGTGGGAAAGTCACCCATGCAGTGCTGGACCCGTGCCAGCTCGGCTCACGTGCCCCAGTGGGAAAGTCACCCATGCCGTGCTGGACCCGTGCCAGCTCGGCTCACGTGCCCCAGTGGGAAAGTCACCCATGCAGTGCTGGACCTGTGCCAGCTCGGCTCACGTGCCCCAGTGGGAAAGTCACCCATGCAGTGCTGGACCCGTGCCAGCTCAGCTCACGTGCGCCAGCGGAAACACCACCAGTGCCGTGCTGGACCCGTGCCAGCTCAGCTCACGTGCCCCAGTGGGAAAACCACCACCCATGCCGTGCTTGACCCGCGCAGCTCAGCTCACGTGCGCCAGTGGGAAAACCACCTGTACCGTGCTGGACCCGTGCCAGCTGGGCTCACGTGCGCCAACACCGGGAGGACGTGGTGGAGGAGGAGGAGGAAGAGGAGGAGGTGGTTGAGGACGTGGTGGAGGTTACCGTCGGTCCTAACAGAATCCGCGAACCGCCGAGTGTCAGTTGAGCGCGCAGTGTCTGTGCGGACTCGTGAACGTCACCTCCGTCTTCATCTTGCTGACGAAGGGCCAGCCTTCATCGCCGCACGCCTCCGGCACCTTCTCCAGCAGCAACTGCTGCTGCCCACCGCTGTCCCTCTGCCGCTTGGCGTTCTCCAGCAGCTGGCGTGCAAGCACCAACTCCACCTGGAGTCCAACGTACACGCACGTAGACTCAGCATCACGCAGAGAGCCATAGACTCACGCAGAGAGCCATAGACTCACGCAGAGATCCATAGACTCACACAGAGACACATAGACTCACGCAGAGATCCATAGACTTACACAGAGACCAATAGACTCATACAGAGACCCATAGACTCACACAGAGACCCGTCGACTCACACAGAGATCCATAGACTCACACAGAGACCCATAGACTCACACAGAGACCCGTCGACTCACACAGAGATCCATAGACTCACACAGAGACCCATAGACTCACACAGAGACACACAGACTCACAAAGAGACCCACAGACTCACACAGAGACCCATAGACTCACACAGAGATCCATAGACTCGCACAAAAACCCACAGATTCACACAGAGACCCATAGACTTACACAGAGACCAATAGACTCATACAGAGAGCCATAGACTCACACAGAGACCCATAGACTCACACAGAGATGCATAGACTCACACAGAGACCCATCGACTAACACAGAGACCCATAGACTCACACAGAGACACACAGACTCACAAAGAGACCCACAGACTCACACAGAGACCCATAGACTCACACAGAGATCCATAGACTCGCACAAAAACCCACAGATTCACACAGAGACCCATAGACTTACACAGAGATGCATAGACTCACACAGAGACCCATCGACTAACACAGAGATGCATAGACTCACACAGAGACCCATCGACTAACACAGAGACCCATAGACTCAGTCCCACACACACACACAGATTGTGGCGATCTTTTTTTCCAGACTTGGGCGCTCTGTAGAATTGAACGTCGAGTCGACGCTGGGTGATTGATTGATGGATCCGGCACTCACAGAATCGCCCGCTCGCTTGCTCGCCCGCTCGCCATCTGTAGCTACTCCTACGACTGCCCAGGTGCTTAAGTGTTCGTTTATTATTCATTTTTCGATGACCAAATCGAAGGTCGAAGTGAGTTCCTGCTCAACTGAACACTGAGGCATTGCTGCTCATCTGTTCACAGCCCTGCAGAGCCAGTGGTGGAAATTCCACTTTCCTATGGCGGGGGCGAGTCCATCCACAGGTGGTGATGATGGAAGTGATGGAGGTGGTGGTGACGCAATTGATACTGCTACTGCTGCTGCTCCTGTTGCTACTACTGATAATAATGCTGTCACTGCGACTGATGATGCTTGCTGATGATGAAACTGACGATATTGATGATATTGATGATGACAATACCGATGAGGAAGATGATGATATTGATGATGATGATGATACTGATGATGAGGACGATACTCACAATGATAATGACGATGGTGACGATGATGGCGTTGATGATGATGATCATGACGACGATGATGATGATGATGATGATTTCCGGTGTCACTCACGTGCGCTGTGATAAGTTTCTTCTGTAGGTTCCCGCCGGGATATTCCTCGCAGAAGCAGAGGACGATCTCAGTCTGAGGCTCCGGACCTCCCAGCGTGAAGTTGTGAAGCTCTGGAAAAAAAAAACAGACAGGGGGACATCCCTCAACTAAAACTAATAAAATGATAGCTCAACCAAGTGACGGATTTTCATCACCGTCATGTGGAAATGCAGAAGAATTCAAATACTCTCAGAGAGACCCACAGCAACCCACACAGGCCCATACTAAAACGAAACTATTTGTTATTTTTACCAGGTAAGGCCCCACTGAAGCTCTGTTGATATTTTTCAGAAGCCACCTGGCCATCACAAATGATAACTCAACCAAGTGGCTCTTCATCATGATCATCATCATCACGTGGTAATGTTCAGCAGCAGCAGCAGCAGCAGCAAAATCCTCTGAATGCGTGACGTTGATGCTAAACGTGGAGGATGAAAACCCGGAGGCCTGCGGAGAAAAATCCACGGGACGATGGGGAGAGAGAGAGAGAGAGACGCAGACTCCAAATATAGAGCAGCAGCAGCAGCAGGCGTCAGGGTTGGGATCGAAGCCAGGAGCCTCCTGCACACCGGGCGAGGTGGTCAGTATCCTCCTAGGGGGGTGGGGGTCCATGGAGACGGGATAGAGGTGGGGGGTGGAGGAGTGGGGGGGGATCGAGGTGGGGGGGGGGGGGTGGAGGATGGGGGTGGGGGGGGGGAATGGAGGTGGGGGGGGAAGTGTTGGGGGTGTAGGTGTAGGGTGCAGGTGGGTGGGGTGGGTGGGGTGGGTGGTGTGTGTGAGGTGACCCCCGTCCCGCGTCACCTCTCATGAAGCTGTCGCGATCAAACAAGGTGACGGCCGCTCTTCGCTCCATCTTGTTGGGCCTCCCGGCGTGCCTGGGTGCGCACGGCCCACTCCAGTAGACGCGTCCCCGGCACAGCCTCTCGGCCTGCAGCCTGCCCAGCGCGCCGTCCACGCGCAGGTTCAATCCCCGGCCCAGGCTGCCGAGCGCGGCGGCCAGAAGCTCTCCGTGACGGCCCGCGTAGAACAGCTGGTGCTGCTGCTGCTGCTGGTGGTGCTGCTGGTGCTGCTGGTGCTGCTGCTGCTGGTGCTGCTGGTGGTGCTGCTGGTGGTGGTGCTGCGGTGACGCTAGTGCGGAGGCGACGGAGGCGACGGAGGCGGCCGGGTGAGGGAAGTGCAGCGTGGCCGTGACCGGGTCGTAGCCGGCCTGAGCGCCCGCGTTGAAGGCGAGGCGGCAGCCGAGGGGGTGCGAAACGCGGGCGTACAGCACCCGCTCGTCCTTGTACTTGACCAGCACGTCCATCTCGTAGAAGCCTGCCGTGGGGGTGGCGGCGGTGGTGGTGGTTGAGGTCGGGGTTGGTGGTTGGGGTGGTGATGGGAGAGAGGGGTGGTGATGGGAGAGAGGGGTGGTGGTGGTGAGGGTGGTTGTGGTTATGGCAGTGGTGGCGGTTGTGGTGGAGTTGGTGGTAGAGGAGGGGTTGGTGGTGGGGATGGTAGTGGTGAGGTTGGTTGTGGTGGTGGTGGTGGTTGGGGTGATGATGGGAGAGAGGGGTGGTGGTGGGGATGGTGGTGGTGAGGTTGGTTGTGGTGGTGGTTGAGGTGGGTTGGTGGTTGGGGTGGTGATGAGAGAGAGGGGTGGTGGTGGTGGTGAGGGTGGTTGTGGCAGTGGTGGCGGTTGTGGTGGAGTTGGTGGTAGAGGAGGGGGTGGTGGTGGGGATGGTGGTGGTGAGGTTGGTTGTGGTGGTGGTGGTGGTTGAGGTCGGGGTTGGTGGTTGGGGTGGTGATGGGAGAGAGGGGTGGTGGTGGTGGTGAGGGTGGTTGTGGTTGTGGCAGTGGTGGCGGTTGTGGTGGGGTTGGTGGTAGAGGAGGGGGTGGTGGTGGGGATGGTGGTGGTGGTGGCTACAAACCCAGTGTGACCGGGGTTCGATTCCCACTCGCGGTCGAAACCAGTGACAGCGATTATCTGAACCGGTCCTTGGACCTCCCCTAGTTCGACTCAGCCTCAAATGAGTACCTAGTGCGGTGTGTGGTAAACATCGCCACTGGGGAGACAAAGGCGGCCGGGCGTGGTGGTGCTGGCCACCCACCCCCTCGTGTGCCACAGTGCCGGCCTCTATAGGAGCTCGCCAACTGCACTTGCCCCGGCCGCATGTTGAGGCTACCCGGTCGGAGTGACGTTGGCCCGATGCAGCATCAAACGTTGAGCCAACGTTGGTGTTATCACCGTGGTTGTCACCCGGAGACGGCAGTCATCATCACAGTCATTATGAACACCATCATCATCATCATCACAGTCATCATCATCACCATCATCATCACAGTCATAATGACCACCACCATCATCACAGTCATAATCACCACCATCACCGTCATCATCACAGTCATAATGACCACCACCAGCATCATCACAGTCATAATGACCACCATCACCATCACAGTCATAATGACCACCATCACCGTCATCATCACACTCATAATGACCACCATCACCGTCATCATCACAGCCATAATGACCACCACCATCATCATCACAGTCATAATGACCACCACCACCATCATCACAGTCATAATGACCACCACCATCATCATCACAGTCATAATGACCACCACCACCATCATCATCATCATCACAGTCATAATGACCACCATCACCGTCATCATCACAGTCATAATGACCACCACCATCAACGTCATCATCACAGTCATAATGACCACCATCACCGTCATCACAGTCATAATGACCACCACCATCACCGTCATCATCACAGTCATAATCACCACCATCACCATCATCATCACAGTCATAATGACCACCACCATCATCACAGTCATAATGACTACCATCATCATCACAGTTATAATGACCAGCATCACCGTCATCATCATCACAGTCATAATGACCACCACCACCAGCATCATCACAGTCATAATGACCACCATCATCACCGTCATCATCACAGTCAAAATGACCACCACCATCACCGTCATCATCACAGTCATAATGACCACCATCACCACCATCATCACAGCCATAATGACCACCACCACCATCATCATCACAGTCATAATGACCACCACCATCATCATCACAGTCATAATGACCACCATCACCACCACCATCATCACAGTCATAATGACCACCAACACCATCATCATCATCACAGTCATAATGACCACCACCATCATCATCACAGTCATAATGACCACCACCACCATCATCATCACAGTCATAATGACCACCACCATCATCATCACAGTCATAATTACCACCATCATCGTCATCATCACAGTCATAATGACCACCATCACCACCACCACCACCATCATCATCACAGTCATAATGACCACCACCATCATCACAGTCATAATGAACACCACCATCACCACCGCAGTCATAATGACCACTCTGGTCATTATCATCATCATCTTAATCATCACTTATCACCATCGTCATCATCGACATCGTCACCATCATCATGATCATCGTCATCACCATCATCATCACAAAAATCATTGTCATCGCTATCAACAACATCACCATCGTCATCATCGTCACTGCTAAAATCATTGCTATCAACAGTCATCACCTTCGTCGTCGTCATAATCATTCACTGATAAATTAA